ATATAACGCACTGAGTGAATGGGGAAGTTTGCTGCGTGTTGCTGCGGAAAATTGAAGCACGTCAAAATACATCAACACAACGAAGCTAATACGACATAAAAACAATGAGATACTTGACGGAGTTTGGCTACATCGAGGCTCACTGCAGTAAAAAAGACAAACGGAGGGTCAGATAGCAGGTAAAGCAGCGCACAGCTACAAACACTCACCCGGATTAGCATGACGGTCAGAAAAATAAACAAATAACCCGCAAAATTATTTAAGTCTTCGAGCTGCGATGTAAGACGCTGGTTCTGCTCTCCTGTTGAACCGCTGCTACGCTACAGGTAGTAATATCTGACAGGCTACAGGTAGTAATATCTGACAGACGGAGCTTCGCTTCTGCTCCACCTGGTAGTGACTCTCACCGAACCTGCTTAAAGCTGCAGCATCTAACTTAAAAAAATACATTTTACATACGTATTAAAACTTTGCTGTCCTAACATGAGACAGATAATCTCTAAAAAAAATAATCGCTTTCCTCCCTGATCTGCATAATTACTCCGCTCAGTCAGAAACAGCCAATCAGAACTAGCAGTAATCAGCTAGCCGCCATGCTATCAGGAAGCTTTCATTCAGTAACTCTGGATTGTTTATTGTAATGGATCCTGTTTTTGCCTTTGAATGTTAAGTTTTATACTTGAATTTTTTGGCAATGTTGAGAGGTTTTATTTTGGCTCTTTGCATTATTTAGCCTCTTCAGAGCCTTCATATGTTTTCAGTCTGTTAATATAGTATTATCAATAGCAGTACAATTTGCACAATGCCTGTTTTGTTTTTTTCTTGGAAAAAGTTATTAAAAACAAGTTTTTATCTAAATTAAGGTGAATCCATGGTTCCTTTTCCACATAATGTAACCGGTAGTGCTTATGATTAAAAAAATAATAATTATGTGATCGGTATCGGTGATCAATATCGGTGATCGGTCCTCATGGGTGATCGGAATTGGCAGGAAAAAACATGATCGGCACATCTCTAGTTCTAACATATGCAGATCTATGTTCACATCTCATTCTTAGTTTATATTGTTTCATGTGTGATTCGGACCTTGATGTGGTATCTGTTTACTGATACCACAGTAGAGCATGTACATGGAAAACCTCTATATGCTCCTGGAACCAGGAATGATTATGTGATGGAGTACAAAAACTTCAGAATATGGCAGAGTGCGTCTGTACACACTAATGTAATATAAAGTCTCACCATAGATAAGGGCAATATAAGCTTTGACCATAAGTCAGTGCTTAGTGATCAGGTAAATGATTCAGTTCAGTAACAAAGCAAGCAGAGTGGGCAGGACAGATCCACAGTCCATGAGACAGTAGTAAGTCCTCAGGTACAAATCTTGGTTTCGAGCCAGAGGAAGAGAAACTCAAAGAAGTGGCCAAGTTGCAGAAAGCAGGTCACATACACAACCGAGGTGGACATAAAAAACAAACAGGCTGTGAGAGTGGTTGATGAAAGACGATACACTGTAGGTACTGATAATATAGGTGGAAGCAATCAGCTATCGGACAGCCAACAAGACTAGGAGAGGCAGAGCAGGAGAACAGGATGAACCATAGCAGGAAGAGACAAGTGTCTGTGCCCTTTGCAGATTTACTGCATGGAAATTGTGCAATTCTGGTGTCACATAAGGGTTTTTACCTTATAGAAGCAAGGTGTCTTCTTCACCTTGCTTTTATTTTAAACTTTGCAAAGCCAGTTAAAATCAGATGTTTTATCAAAAAAGACTCATGACCATTTTATTTAATTGTCTTATGCAAAACAGATGACCTTTTCATTTCATTGTCTGAGATTAAATCGTACCACTTCCTGTTAGAGATCAGTTAAAATGGTATTTACCTTCTGACTGAGTAACAGGAGAGAGCAGTTTGCATTATAGTCTTTAATGCCATGACTTTATTAACCTCTGATTGGGTAATTCAAAATGTTTTTATTGAAGCAAATGATAGCTTGTTGAAGGGCAGCCACTGTTTAATGGCAATGTGACCAAACACTATTGTCATGTATGTAAAAATTCAACCATAAAATTAAAACTTTGTCAAAAAACTCACTCAGCCACAAAACCATAAGCACTGTAATCAATTGATGGTTTGTTTTGATCTGCGTTTTCATGACGGTTCTCTAGGTGTGATGAAAACATTATCTTTCCATGCAACCAATAAAAGCCCCAACTAAAAGGAAAATGTATTCAGATTTATCACCCAAAACGAAATATGCCCTCTGGAAATAAAAACTTTAACATCCTATCCTCTTAGTTACGACTTAAACAAGCAGCAACATGAACAGCTTGACTGAGGAAGTGTCACATATTCATGATTTGAATGCTGCTCGGTTGAGAAAATGCAGCAGTTCAGTTATGGTGAAGTGAGACCAGGCTTTTTTTTTTATTTTTTTTTTATGAGAAACCTTGATATACAACAGAGGTGGGCGTTGTGTTGTTTGCGCAAAGTGCAGGCACATCGTTTGTTTGTGTCGGTGTATAGAGTGCAGCATCCAGCATGCACACAAACAGAAAACAAAGCGTCTTTTATTTCCAAGTGGAGGAAGGGCAGCAGTTCAGCCACTAAAGTTGACTATCTGTAAAATCTTTCTGCCTAAACTGCTGAATAAAGGAAAAAATATTTGTGCTTTGTTTCTTTAAAACTGAATGCACTGCATGGAGTGCTCCTCTAAACTGAAGCAGCTGTGTCTGTGGCTTCATGTACTATGCCCTGCAAAACAGTTCAAACCACTTGAACCTTTTCACTTCATGGCCACTAACCCCAGCATAATTTAAAATTATTTTATGTTTTAGACCAACATGAAGTGAAACAAAAATGAAATATTGTTTTTGACAAATATTTCACCAAGAAAGATCTGAAGATTTTGCAACTCATCTAATACAGATTTTGGGGGGTATATCTGTAGCATCATTTGACATCAAAAGACTGACATTTTTGTTAATTCCTATTTGCAAAACCATTTTGGCAATTATTTGGCCACATGTTTTAGGTCATTTAGATCTTGCTAAGATATCCAGTAATGATCCATTTTCAGTTTTCTGGTAGAGGCTACCAGATTTTTTTTTAATGTTCTGGTATTTCACAGAGTTTGCAAATGCAAGATTCCAGGGAATTTGGAAGAAAAACAGCTCCACAACACAACATACTTGAGAGAGGTTATGAAGTGCTCTTCAAAATCATTTATTTTATCACTCACTCTCGATTGTTTGTCACAAAAACGCCCGATCTGAATGTCATCCTATCCCAAAGCATAATCCACCAGAAAGTAAAAAATAAGCCTACTTTTCCTGTAGCAAAAAAAGTCTGCAACATGTTTTTACACATCTTCACCAATGATGTTAATAAGTGTGCAGGGCCTGTGTCAGGAGTCCACTTCTGAAATTAATGCTGCTGCTTTAAAGCAATCCAGTTTTCTGAGTACTCAAAAACCAGTTTTGAAAACTGCTTAAAGGAAATGTTAAAAAGTTCAATACATGATATGGAGCTCAAAGCAGAAGTTTAGCCTAACAAGTCCACTTTCTTCTACCTCCCCCACCAAGAGTTAGATGCTAAAGTACAGCAGAGATCCTGACTAAAACACAGTAAAAATGTACCTAAAACTTTGACAAGCAGACTGGAAAGTATTTTTTCTTCTCATTGATATAAAAAAAAAAAACATTGAGGTGTTTTTTCACTTATAGCTTCATGATGTTACTATTACTGCATCAACAAAGACACATTTTCAGGTCTGACTTCAGCCTGTCTGACTGACACTGAAAGTTTCAGATGATTGACAACTGAAAAAGCATCTGCACCCGGAGCCATGTTTGCAGCAGCATGAGGGCTTTTCGCAGAAAAGCAAATCAGGTTGAAAACGTGACAACACAACTGCAAATGCCTAGATTCGATTTTCAAAAAATACACACATTTAGACTCTTAGGTTCAGATTATCGGAAACAGCAGCTTTATTAAAGGCAGTTTGAAAAACTGAGCTTTACAAAACTAGGAATACATTCTCACTGTCCTATTTGAGTTTACTGTAGCCGTAAGAGAAAAAAAAAAACAAAAATCTCCCATGAACAAGAAGAAAAAAACCAAATGCATTATTTCCAGTTTTTGTGACCACACACTTCCCCTTCTAAAAAATAACCAATATCCTGGATTCATGGTCAACTTACTTGTTTTCCACTAACGCATGAGTATCGTTACATATCCACAACAGCAGTTACTATATGACGAAGCGTTTCACAAAAATGAGATAAGCAAATTAGCACCAGGGATCAGAGAACTTTCAAGACCGTCCTAGGGGAAAATGACAGTAAGATAGTGTCAGATTGTGACTGCATACATACAAACTCCTTTAGATGCAGAGGAGCAGTGGAAACTCACACTTTTAAACCTGACAAGGCTGATCTGTGATTCTGTACACTTGGATTGTGTTCTTAAAATGGTTTCATTTCACCCAAAAACCCTTGAGGTGGTGAGTAAAACGGTGAAAAAAAGCTGTAGATACCACTGATGAAAAAGGGATTTAATTACTGCCTTTTAGATCGGATGTTGACAAATCCTTAACGATGTCTTAAAATCAAAAGTATTTATACTTTTATATTTACATTAAGAAATTCAGTATGTTTTATGAGAGCCAGATATCTGCATTGCTGTATGGCCTGATACGCTTGAATTTAAAATAATCTCTGGGGCCTGACTCCACCTTTTTGTCTTTACCCGTTAACAAACAACTAATAATCTGTTGCAAACCATTGATAGGTATTGTTTTGCATTGTTAGGTCTGATGTTTTCTGGATCAAAGAAAAAACTATGAACAAGTATCTACTGCAGTGACCTTCACACACATTGGCGCACCAGTTAAAAATGTGCAAACAACCAGAAACAACCACATTTTCTCAGAAATGTGACCCTATGCTGAAAATTTATAAAATCTAACCTTTAATCTTACACACTTATTAAAGATAGTAAGGATCCCATGCTAAGAAATATTATTATTGCATTATTGTATATCCCAAAATATATCCAAAAATAAACTCAAATAGGTTTTCTTAGAAAATGTAATCTCTCCTCCATGTCTTCTTATTTTTCAGGGTATGCATATGACACGACCAAGAAGCCCAGCTCTTGGTGACGCTTATGCAAACAACAAGAGAACATGCCCATAGAAGTAAAGCTCTTATTTCAGAGCTGCACTGATTCAGAGCTGTAGCAAAGACATCGCCCAGATACCCACAAGATGTTATCTACGTTTTAATCCTATATCTACAAATGACGTCAGAAAACACAAACATGTTTTTGCCTAACGCAGCAGAAACTTTAAGGGGAACTCTGTCAGATGATACCAAGATTGAGCCACTCCAAGCCGAGCGCTTACTGCCAATGAATACAAGGAGAAGCACCATGAATGATGTGGGATGCTGTGTGTTTGCTTTTCCTCCAGAAGCTTGGAACATGTAGCAAGAGTGCAAGACGTTATAAACACTTAGTAATAACTGCCAACGCTAAAGACAATACAAGTCATAAACTCCAGTCTGCTAGTGCTAATGTCTTGCAAAATTTGAATGCATCCCTGCTCCAACACACCGGACTCCTGTACAAGAAGCTATCAATAAATATCTGGTGGACTCTGCCAGAATGCTGAAGCAGTTCTTTTACTGGAAACATTTTCGAAAACATATATGACTTAATCACGACAGAAATTGTTAAACAGACATAAAATCAATCGTCTTCCAGGGCTTTTTCAGTCTTCAATTTCACTGAAAGCCTGTCCGGTGAACTGAAGAGACGACTCAAGAATATTATTTAGAGACAAACTGTGCAGATGGTAAAGGTCAAAGGTCCCTATCCCTGCATGTTTTTACTTTGTGAAATTTTATAGGAGAATCCTAAATGCTATTGGTAAAAGGGGGATGTTGTATAAAGTATTGTTGTGTCAACAGTTGTGCTATTAATGTCTTAAATTGGGATCCCAACCTCCTATTGAACAAAGATTTGAAATTGATTTTTCTCAATGTTTATAATTTCAAGGTTTCTAATCTTTTCAAGGTTATGTTTCTGCAATAACAGCTGATTTTATAAATGTGTTTATTTTATTTTATTTTTTTACTCTGTGCTCCGGCTCCCAGCAAATGTGTCTGTTCCCGCACTGAGTGGGCGACATTTAATCAGTCATATAAAGAACACCATTTTGATGCATTAACATTATTTCAAACATATTTCTAGTTGAGCTAATCTCTGACAACAATAAAGTAAAGTTCAAATTTTGCCAGTTTCACTAGAAATAAAACTATTTGGTTCGAGGAAATATTTGTTTGAGGTTGATATTTGTGGTTTGTCACAGTAACTCCTAGCATTTATGTGTGCTGATCACCCCACACACACAGTGATGTCTTTCATACAAAAACTGGTTCCCCTGACTAATATTGCAAAATGTGTAAATACAGTCAAAGCACAATTTATCATACATACAAGAAATATATTATTAGATTCTGGGGTATCAAAGTCTTTTACAGAAACTGGAAAGGATCTGAAGATTTACACCCGTTCATTTATTGGCGTTGGGCCTCAGCTTCTTTTCTGGGAGGTAGCTGACTGTGGCGTACTCTGTCTCATTGGAGCCCAACTCCACAGCTGATGGGGGTCTCTTTGGGAAGTCCAGGACGCTGTAGACCAGTGACTGGTCAGTCGTGCTAACTGACACTTCAACTGTTTCCTGCAAACACAGTCAGATATTAACTTACCGATTAGGGGAAACATGAAACATTTACTTTGACCCGTGTGCTCTGAAAGGTTTAAAAAATATGTGTACCTGTGTTGTAGGAGTTGAGGATCTCTGTGGTCCTTCTTGTGTTTGGTCTGCATTATGAGCACAACAAGGAAATGTCATGTTCTAAAATATTCCATGTAATAAGAACAATATTTTTCTCTTGACTGTCCATATAAAAAGTTTAGCTTAGATTACTGAATGGGTTCAGTAGGATAATTGAACACATTTTTGTCGTTTAGCTGGTTTTCAGCTGGCAGAACAAAACCAATAGGCTGACGACAAACTGATTTTGTTACGGGGGTGCAGGAGCCTTATTATAGCAGGGCTGGGTCTTCTAAGGGTTAAAATACACCCTTTATTTTTTGTGTTTTACTCCAACAACAAGGTTAAATATGGCATTGAAGTTATAAGTCGTTGGAGAGAATAAGCTATATTCCATTTGTCTACTGTGTAAACGTTCTTATCCTTCCAGTTGGTGCTAATTAATTGTAAATATAACTGATTTCTTTAGGTAAGTTTAGTTATTTTTGAAAATGAAGATAATCTTTATGAGTAACCCATTTTCAGAAGGACATGATTATAACAGCATGTGAAGTGTTTACTTTGCAGTGTGCTGTAAAATCACATGGCGCTATTAGCATAAACTAGTTGGTTTGTTAACACGACTGTATCTTCGTGATTGAATTGCTGATAATGACTCAAATCTTACAGTCTCAGAAAATGTGAAAATTGCGCAACAAATTTTTTGAAATGTTAATGTTTAGATGTTTTTGAAATAGTCATATCATTACTGACTACCAGAGAGAAGCCTGCAGACAATCATGTCACCCGCCACAAGGAAAATAAGATTTTAAGTTCATTAATGTAAACTGGTAGTTCACAGAGTGCTGTAATCAAACATATTAATGGGAAGTTGAGTGGAAGAAAAAAGTGGTAGGAGAAGGTGAAACAGCAGAGAACTGCAGGCTTGTCAAGTCCAGTCCAAAATTTGGGGGGAGCGTCAAAAGAAATGGACTGAGGCTGGAGGCTTTTCAGTTTATAAAAGACATAAAAATGAATGTTTTATTTTTAATAAGAACTAACAAAAGCAAAAGTGGCTAAACTAAATTTCCTGAGTTTTTATGCACAAACACAGCACATTAATGAGAAATCAGAAGGACACTTGATTCTTAGTAAAATTTAAAAAAACACAAAAACAAAATCCATGGCCCTGAGCAAAAGTTGAACCAGCCTGCTGTGATAAAGGAGTGCAAAGTCAGCAAAACTCTTGCATTTGTGAGCACGGAGGAGAAACAATCTTCATCAGTGGCTTCTGAGGTCAAGAGACTCAAAACTGCACTGATTCAAAGTAGGCCAAAAGGGGTTGCCTCTGAAATGACAGCACACTCAAGGTTCTGGTGTTTTCTTTTATTTTTTTTATTTTATTTCCACCACTCTCTCTGCGATAGTAGCTACCATTAAATTTGCATGCATCGAGGCAGAATTCCTCTTTGAAAAGTATGAATCATCGCGTGCATTAAAAGGATGTGAAACTGCAATCTGGTTTGCATTTTCAGCATCTAACCACACAATTGCAAATTTTTTTCCACCAAATAAACATTGTCGTCTCGTATGTGTGTTTGGTTGAAAAAAAAAAAAGTCATGTATATACACATTCCAGTAATCAGCAGAGGCCTATACACCAGACGTGGAACGCAGTGACTAAGAAGCAGTCATCATACCAAGTCAAACTTTGAGATATAAACTGGGATCCAGATGCTGCATATTTTATTAAAAACAACCCATCCCCAATTCTGGACAACAAAATAACTCATCTTTTTAGAAATTTGGAAAAATAAATCATATTTAGCAAATTGATTAATTAAGCAAATAAAGCAAAGCTTTTTCAACTTACCTTTTGTTTTTGGAAGACAGATGACCAAGAATGGAAGCAATGCAGCTAGCAGAAGAAATGGAGAAACCACAATAACTGTGACAATCTGAGAGGAAAAGAAACTGGAACTTCCATTGCTAGTTGTTTTGGTGAAGGTGCTCGTCTCTGGAGGAACTGTGGGAGTTAAAAGAATATGAAAATATTTACTCATCTACTATGAAAGAGAAGTTTTTCGTTATCGGGCTATTTTTAACAGAAAACACCAAGTAATGATTCTAGAAAAGACGCCCTGGATCCGAATTTAAACGTTGCTTTGTGACAACATTTGACATGCAGACTAATAATGCTAAATGTTCTGTTTCATTAGTCCTAAGCCTATTAGCTTTAAGATCTGTTCCACTTACCCAAATTAGTTGGTTTGACTAAATTATCCTTTTATGTAAAGGTTTACAACTAGGTTTTAACTGGTAATCTTTGTTTGAATTCCAGTTTAGCTTGAAACTGACTTGTTATTTCAAAAATCTGAGTGATGTCTGGCAAACATTTACATATTTATTGGACAAAAATGCTTTTTGAAGAGTGGCTAAAGGAAATTGGCCTTTGTGTCACACCATATTTATTCCCCAGGTAATCAGAAAGCTGTTGAGTTTAGTTCTATTGTAATCCTAATTTTACTTTTATGACTGTGTTTGGTTTTTGCCATTTTTCTTCCTTTATTATCAATATTGCATTTTTATTGAGTTTTGATATAAGTAGTTTTGATTTGTAAATGTTTGTGTGTTGCTGAAAGTCTGGGCCAGGTCTTTTTGGAAAGAGAGATTTTTAATCTCAATGAGGCTTATTACCCAAATAAATAAAGGTTACATACATATTATGTTGTATATTATGATGTAAATCTCAAAATAGTTGATTTTACATAATAATTCCCTTAAAAGAACATACAAGATAAACTATTATTTCTCAATATAGTTTTTGTCAATTAATGTATTTACTCAGATGAAAGGTTGGATTTTGCTTAATATGGCAGTGTGAGATTTTATTAAGACAGTTAAAGACTTAATAAAAATTAGTTTTCGTCAGGAACAGCTAACATGTGAAAACGAGCCATAATTACCAACGTTATGCACCAGTCATACACCCATTGGTCGGAGGTTTGAGTCAGCATATTATTGAAGTAACACAGGGGAAATAAATATGGAGTGGAAAGGGTGAAATGAAAAACTAAACTTACAGACTAGTGATATTCTAATGATATTAAACATTGAACTGCATCCACTTGTATGAAATAGTTGTTAATGATAATGACTTATGTACAGTAGTACCTTTTAGTGTAAGTGTAAGAAGGAGTGGGATCTTACCTGTGGTGGTTAGGTTCTCCTCTTGAACAATCAGCTTCACTTTATTTTTGCTAAGCGTTGTAATTAAATCTATGACCAAAATGGCCCAGTAAGTTTCACTGTGGTTTAGGCTCAGATTGGTGATGTGAAAATGTATGGAAGAATCTTCAGGGTAAATCTTAAATTCATTTTTGTAATATGGATATTCAGAGATTTTTATTTCCTTGTCTGGACATTTGTAGACAATAATGTGACTCTTATCTGTGATGGTTTTGTTAAATTCGAAGTGAAGCGAGATGTTTTGGCCGACGATCCCAATGACATCTGCATGGCTGGGGTCTGTAAACAGTAATTACAACAGACATTTATGAAGTACTATGAATACATATATAGCAAAACAATGTAAGAAGTGTTAGAATAATTACTTATACTTTGGTATGGATTCAAAATGGTGGCCTTTTTATTGTAAATAGTTACTGTGTTTTATTCTTCTTTGAATAATTCATATTTACAAATTTTGTTGACAATGATGGGATCCAATAATCAAATTAATCTCATAGTTAGAAATATATATCCTTTATCTATGAAGGCAAGTAAGACAAAATAAGTCAAAATTACACCAAGACTGTAACACGGTGGTTAAAACTCTACAAGAGCTGAAGGAAGAAGCTGAAAACGTTCTTCATATTTGTCTAAATTAATTTCTATATTACATTTTAAAACAAAAACAAACAAAAAAAAACTGATGGTGTGCTAGCTTTAATTGGTCGCCTTTTGTTTTCATCAGAAATATTTGACGTGGGGAATTAAAGATAGATGAAAAACAACAAACATATATTGTATAAAAAATGTTTTTGAAGCATGAGCCACAAATTTAGTTGGCTTTAAAAATCAAGAAAAAATAATTAATTCATATCAGTTTAGCTCATTTACATAGTGCCAATTTACATGTAAACTCAAGGCATAATTAAATATCTTGTAGGATTCCTTTAGAGTGGCTCGTATTGGTGTTTGACTTGTATTCATGCCTGAGTGTGGAAATATTTATGACTGAACACAGTAATGTAATTATTCCCCCCCAAAATTATCCAGTATAGCATTTCAGGTATGTGACATTCACATTGTCCCACTTTTAAGTCTATTTTCAGAGGTGAAAAACCGCAGTAGACGCCACAACCAAATTGTGAACACTTCCCTCAAGAACTACAATGAGGAATATATCTGTTGCACTTAAAGAATCACCATGTTGAATTAACAGAGAGCAAAAACGTTAAAATGTCAACAAATCCCTCCTTCACACACAATGTTAAATACATGAACAGGGGCAAAATATCAAATACGTAAATTAAGTTGTTAATCTTTAGAGAAAAATCCTAAAAACTTATAAAACCAAAAGTCAACCAGCAATAGTTATGAATAAAACATCTTACCATAGAAAACCATGTGAGCTGTGACGATTAAAACTAACCCAAGAGGCTTTGTGAAGCCGTTTTCAACCATGATTAAAAAACGCGTTCTGCTTGCAGGCCTGCCGTGATGACCTGTCCGATTTTTGTTCCTACAGATACTTTGACTGCCGTTGTTAACGTCCAACCTCAGCTTTTCTCGTCAAGTAGTAGTAGATTTTTATTTTCTCCTCTACAAGGAGGAAGCAGTAGGCAGGAACTTGCACAAACACCGACGTATATCAGCCTACAGCATCAGAAGCGCCTCCTGTTTCGAAGACTTCAAAGAGCTTCATGGACATGTGGTGTAGACTGTGTGGAGCAGGATGTCACGCGCATGATGTGAATTCAGGAGGAGCAAATACTTCTGTCAGGTTTCAGAAGAGAACCACTTAAAACTGACACATAGAAACCTGTTTTTTTTATATGGTCATTTTTCAATTGTCCTTTAATTAGAAACCTGTTCATAACTTGACAAAACAAAGCTTGGTGTAGATTTTGAAATGCAAATCTAGTCTTTCATTCAGAAGATAACTAGAGTTGAACCTACCCAAAATCAAAACAAGTCAGGTGGAAAATGATCTTAAAAATGTCTAAATTGAAAAGAGGGCAAAATCCTGGATGTTTTCTTTCCTTTGTGAGTCACAGTATAAGTTTTGACTTTGACCACAAATTATTACATACAACAAATTCAAAATTACCATTGCTTCTTTCTGTTTTACTTCACTGGAGTCATATTTTATAAGTAATCTGTTAAAATGGTATGGATTAATATTCAATTACAGCATTCCTATGAAGTGCAATTTCACTGTATATTATTTAGACTTTGTCTCCCTTTTCCCTCAGTTTCAGTTGCTCAGAATTTCCAAATTTCTCTTTTTAATAACTCTGACCTATGACTCATTCAGACATACAATTACTTATGAACCCAGCTGATTAATAAGTGTTCTATTTTTAAATATCAGAAAACTTAGCAAAGAACCACATATAAATTATTCTTCAGGAACCTTTAAATGGGGCTACAGAGTGATGCAGCTGCTAGTATTGTTGCCTTGCAGCAAGAAGGTCCTGGGTTTGAAACCAGGCCTTGAGTCTTTGTGTATGGACTTTGCCTGTTCTCCCTGTGCATGTGTGGGTTCTCTACAGATACTCCGGCTGTCCCCCACAGTCCAAAAACAAGACTGTGATGATGCTCTCTAAATCCTCCTTAGGTGTGCATGCACCGTGCATGGTTGTTTGTCTTGACTGTCTCAGTGTTGCCCTGGCAACCTGTACAGGGTGTACCCCACTTCTCGCCCATTGACCACTTGAGATAGGCACCAGCTCCGATGGTGACCCCCCACACCCCAGGAATAAGCATGCAAGATAATGGATGGATGGGTTTAGAAATTAGCAGTCTGTCAACTCAAAACCTTTTTTTTTTATTTTTGATTAATACCTCAGTTTACAAGCTGTTAAATAGTATTTTGACACCTGTTTCCCTCAGATTCCATAAAGGCAATCCTGGATATCTTGAAGATAAGACATTCCTTCTGGAGATTCTTTGCTTTATTTTGTCCTCCACTTGTCCACTTTCCTTGTTTATCTTGCTTAATATGCCATCATGGTGAGGTGAAGTTAATGATTGAAAAAGCAGTTTTCAGGACAGCACATTTTACAGAAAACCTGGACAACTAGTAAAATATTATAAGAAGGTTTAAATATTAAGAGCACAAAATTACAGACTGGTTGAAGATCTTCTACTAGCGAGGTGTACCTAATAGAGTGGCTGGTCAGTGTAGATTAGGGGATCTCCAGGCTGAGATCCTAACATGTTGCCTATCTTGAACACACCCAAATTCTTGCCAGGATCCTGTGCTACTTGGTCAACACTATGAAAATGATTAAGCAATATATTTAAGCTGTTAGAAACCTTTGTGAAACCAATGTCTGAAATAGAAGCTGCCTAATAAAAGTGATGATAAACTTAAGTGAAAATACAAATCACATTTGTCAAGCTGTAGTTTTTTTTCTGAACTGTAAAGCATTTTCTTCTCTTAAAGCAGAAAAAAACTTTTTTTTTCTGTATTTCTTAAAATGAAAAACTTTAATTTGGGGGTATTTCTTGGTGAAAACTGTGACGTTCAAACCCAGTGGTTTGTTTAAGGGCTCAAAAGGTTACTTTTGCAGATGTTTTACCACCTAACGTGACTTTCATATCTGATTACAAACCCACACATTCAAAAATAAGGTTGCTCTCATTGCACTAAACTGTAAACATAATGCTCAGTGTTTTCATATCTTGAAAACCAATCTTGAATTTTTGCTCATTTTATTTCCTGGTTTACATTTACTATGTTGTTTTGAAATATTTGTGGACATGGTGGAATAAAAGCTTCCTTAACATCCAACCACTTTTAAAATTAATTATGCTCATAGTATGGGCAAAAAAGCCTGAGATTGACAAAAAAAAAAGAACTTATACTATAATTCACACATATCACACTTGCAACACCACACAGGAAGTGGGGGGCTTTGAAGATAAAACACTTTCAGCAGCCTGAGAGGGATTTTGTTGGTTGGATGTGTGGTTTCACAATCACCACTTTGGGGGTCGTCTCAGTGTGGAAGAGGAAATTGAAAATTATGATTCAGCTGCGAGTCACACTAGATTTTCTGTTATTTTGTGTTGATGTGTGCATATTTTTCTTAGCTGGGTTTAGAAACAGCAGGGGACTGGGAAAAAAATTAATTCTGTTGCTAGGATGCTATTTAGCAGAGAATAATGTAAATAAAATCCCAAGGAGGAACCAAATGTTGCACCCCATCAATCTGGGAAGGGGTAGAAGGCAAACCTGTCTTACAGAATCTGAAGTGATGGGGCATCCAACCTCAGTCCTCAAGGGCCAGTAAGCTGAAGATTTTAAGTTTGTCCTTTTTTCAACACAACAGATTTAAGTATCTGAATTGCCTCCTTAGCTTTATAACTCTGCTAATATATACAGGGAACAGGTGCTTAAGGAATTACTTTAGCTACAATTGCTGTAGTGTGTCAGAGTTTTTTTATATGTTGGAGTACACAATGGTAAAATAAAAAAATAAAAAAAGCTTGCATGGTTTGTTTTGAAAGGTTCCCAGCCTGAGGGAGCTGTGGAGATCATTAAAGCTACATCTGAATCAAGCACAAGCCTTCTGAAACAATGTCTTTGGAACAGAGACCAAACTGGGGTTGGTTAGTGTACAGCGCCTGTTTCAAAGGAAATAACTTATACCACCTACAGCTTGGTGGTAGAAAATTGCTGAGTTGTGTTTAATTTGCTGCAACAGAACCACAGCACCTTGCAGTAATTATGAAAACCCTCAAGTCCTCCACCTAACAAAGTTTTCTGGGGTAAAACAAAACTACCTGCCAAGAAGCTAAAGCATGCCCAAAGCTTGGTTATGAAGCTGGACAATGACCTTTCACCTTCTCTGAAATCCGTCTCTTGTACCCCCCAGAGTTTGATGTCAATAAATCCTACAAACATGTCTTTTAGCAAATCCAAATCTGGGGAAAGGAATTAAGGAATCAGAATCACTGATATTCAGTGGGAGAAGTCTTAGAGAATGTTCATAAATGTTCTTACAATGCAAGACACTGGTTCAATTCAAAGATCTAAACTGTTTAAACTTTAAATAATGCAATCGTTTTGTGTTCCCTGTGTTCACATTTTCATCTCTTCACACCAGGACCATTGTCAAGGTGGACAAGTCCAG